CGGTTATGCCGCATGGTTTATTTTTACCATTTGGTACCTGGTCAAGAAAAAAACCATGCGGCTCAACCGTGCCAGGGTTGCAAATTAGGCTCCGCCCATTTTCCCTCCCAGATGGTTCTTCCCACTTTTTGTTTTCCTCCCAGTTGGTGTGCTCTCTGAAAATATTTTCGATTTTCTGTATTTTTTTCGTGTTTACTAATTTTCTGTATGAAAGTTGACTTAAAACGTGCGGAAATCGAGGAAAAACTAAGAGAATAAACATCCGGCGTTGTTCTTCCACAGCTCCCATTTCCATACCAGAATAATAAATGAATGTATTTGTTTCTAGACATCCTTCGAACCAATTCACTTCACCTCGACCGATATTCACTTTTATCAACACATGGGTTTTGCGTGTTCTGAACTCTGTGGATGTGAAGGAAAATGCACCAATAGTGTTTTGATGATTCCAAACAAACGCTTGTTCCCCATTGAAATGTTCAGAAGCAACGAGAAGCTCGGATTCGGTGTTCGTTCGAGTGTTCTTATTCCTGCCGGAACTCCAGTCACTGAATTCGTCGGAGAGATTATCGGGGAGCAGATTGATATCGAGAACACAAATTGGAACAACATTGAATACGCGTATCAAGTCACCTATGTGAAAGATGATGTTTTGAAGCAGCTCGTGGATCAGACAAACTTCTCGAAAAATTACAAAGGTCTCCTCAAGGATTTATATGCTAACATTTCATATTACTTGGATCCGACAGTTTGTGGAAATTATGCACGCATGGCAAGTCACAGTTGTGCTGCCAACATGGATTTGGTTCGGATCTTTCAAAAAAGTCTTTCTCCCGCCCATATTCATCTTGTGATGGTGGCAGTAACCGATATCTTCCCTGGTACGCCGGTGAGTAAAAACTTTTCGCCAGAAGTTGATAGTGGGATTTCAGATAACAATTGACTACGGAAACGATAATGCAACACGACTGAAAAATAAGTTTGAATGCGGAACGTTTGTCTGCGCGAATGGAGCCGAATAGGAAAAGTTGAAAAAGGCAACACATTCTGAAGTATGAATTTCATTAAAATACTCGAAGAATGTGTATTTTCCTAATACCACTGTGAAAAAAGTTTCAAAAAAAAAAAGAAATCCCTAAAAAAATGTCGTTGAAATTTTGAAACACGGTGGCGATTAAGGACGAGGATTTGAGTTCCCGAGCAGTAAAAAGTTTAGACCAGGGCAGCAAAACGCCTTTTTAACGGAATTTTTTTCTCACTTCGCGGAAAATTAAATCCTCGTTCCTATTCGCTACCTTTTTAGGCAAAATTTTCACTTTGAACGGCTTACAGGGATTCCGAGTTTTTTTAGCAATAACATTAGGTAAAACAACATTTCAAACACTTCTAATAAAAAAAACAATCTTACAGCTTTCAAGATACCACCAAGAACTGTCCCACTTGGAATTGAAAAAGTGGTATAGCAACGTCCAGGCACATTTCCTTTAGAAGTAGATGAGCTAGTCATGAGTTTGGATTTCAACATGTTTTATTTTCTGTCTTCACAATATTTTCAATTTTTTACACATTTCTTTTTCTGCTTGTACGTTTTTTTTTGTTTTAGAGCTCATAAATTACTTTTTAATAATTGGATACAACATAGACATATTAACCCACTATACAACTCTAATTGAAATTTTTTGTGTATTCCGAGAAGTTTATTAAACGTACATACGAAAAAAGTCTGAAAAAAGTGCTAAACGACATCTAATCAACTCCGTCGTGTCTACGAGAAAAGGAAAACGAGCAGCGACGAATCGGGAGGGTGAGGGCCGCCCATCTTGGCCACGCCCCTAGATGACTACCAAATTAGAAAAGGGGACAACCATCCTGCACCTCCTCCAATCCCGAACAACCGGTTGTCTATATATGGAGCTTTACTTAGATTTCATGGTTCGAAAATATTATTCTGGTACATAAAACCGGAACTTTGGAAGAGGAACTCTGGTGGCCATGTCCGAAGGTCCCACAACGACAACCGTGACCTAAAATTTTATTTGTTTTTCGAATTATTTTCTCGATTTTACCTGCTTTTTTGGTGGAGTTTTCTGTTATTTTCCACTTGATTGTGAAATGGGGTTACCAAAATGTAGAAGAATTCCGAGAAATGGAGAAAATTTCGCAAAACCGCGGAAAATGAACTAATCTCGCTGAAAATTCGGAGAAAATCGGAGAAAATTATAGAGCATATTCACAAAATTTGGGGTCAAAATATCCACTTTGACCCATTTGTCTGAAACACCAGCCAAAATTTCAAAATTAATTTTGCGACCCCAAATTTTGTGAATATGCTCTCTATAATTTTCACCAAAATTTCAGCTAGATTGGTTCATTCTCCGCGTTTTCGCGGAATTTTCTCAATTTCTCCGAATTTTTCTACATGTTGGTTAATAACCCCAAAAAACTCGACGAAAAGCAGTGAACATCGAGAAAATAAATCCGGAAAATAAATATATTTTTAGGTTACGGTAGTTGTCGTTGTGGCACCTTCGCGCACGGCCACCGGCGTTTCTCTTCCACATCTCCGATTTTTGGTACCAGCATAATATAAAATAATTGTTTTAACATATTTGTTCTTCAAAAATCTTCTGTAAAGATAGTAAGGATCAAAGCTTTAGTTATATAAAACTTTGATATTCTGAAACTAAAGTTGAGCTTATTCTGAAATTAAAGTTTTTTTATGGCTCTATAATATATAACAATTTATCAGATTCTTCCAAAAAAGTACTCCAAAACGTTCTAATGTATACATAAAAAATGTTTTGACTTCTATAGACACTCAAATCAAAACATCCACTTGGTACATATAATTTCTTACCTTGGTAACTATTCTTACCTTGAGAACTATGATCTACTTTTTTGGATTAATTGAACACCTCAATATTCGATCCTTCGTTAATTAATTAACTAATTAACTCATATTTTCAGCCATCCTTGCCTAATTAACCTTGCTTCTCTCATGTATGCCAGTAAACGTCGTCAGCGAAATTTCAAAAGGTAATTTTTTTCAAATCATTTTTTCTTCAATTCTTTTTTCCACATCTACCGTAATCCTCCTCTTTTCTTCTTCTTCTTCTTTTTTTGCAATTATTTCTCGAAATTCTCATTGAAAATTCCGTATGTCTCCTCCACTCCACTTTATAGAGAATCTGTCCAAAAATATTTTTTGGTGTTGTCTGAAATGAGAGAAATTTTAGGATTTTACTTCTGGAAGTAGATTTGGGAGGAAAACGAAAAAAATTTTTGGTTTTTATGTTGATAAGATGAATAAGTGAAACTTCTAGAGAAAGTGAAAATTCAAAAAACGGAGAAAGCTTATCGTATTTCCTATAAAAGACCCAAATCTTTAAATTTGAGCTCAATTATCTTCATTCCTTAAAAGATATCAAAATTTGTCAACTGATAAAATGTTTATCATAATATCACCAATATTTTATCAGTTGGCAAACTTTTTATGTCTTTTCTGGAATCGAAATAATTAATATTACAGTTGACTGTTTGAAGGACTTCTATCAGAGGAAATATGGTACATTTCCTTCTAGATTTTTAGTCTACAACCTTTAAAACTCATGAGTTTTTATTATTTTTGCCATTTTGCTAGGGATCTAAAATTGTGAAGCCCCAATTAAATTCTAGTTTTCTAAACATTCAGACCCTCAACCTCTTAAAACCCCCTAAGTTTCCTATTTCCAAGAAGTATGGGGATTTTCCCGAAATCTCAGCATGGACAAAGTAATTTTTGAGGTTTCAAAAATAGATCCCAATTATTGAAGTTGAACGATAAATGTAATTCTAGAAAAGTTTTTAAAATTAAAAACATTCAAAAAGTTAAACATCAATTTTATATCAGAAGGAATACCGTAAACACTCATAGAGCTTGCCGGTTTGGGTTTCATTCTACTAAAGTGTTTACGGTATTTCAAAATCGAAAACGATTAAAGAAAATAAATTGTTAATTCTCACTGATTCCGATATAGAAGGTTTTAATGATACTTGAAAAATCTAAAAACTTCATTGGTACTTTAGAGATATTCTTTTTTGTCATATCGAAAAACATAAAATAACCGTCAGATACGATATTTTGTCTAGACCTACTAGCAAAATCAAACAGTGAGAAAAGGAAAAATAAGGAACATAGAAATCGTTAGAAAGAGTCGTCGTCCATGGACACGATCATGCATCCAGACTGAATCCCAATGCCTTATTCCTCTCTTTTTGCCCCCCAGTCCGTCGCGATGTTCGTGCCATGCGCTCAGATGTGCGTGTGACACGGAAACTGTGCGTGAGGTAGACTCTTCGCTCTCCAACATCACCACACTGCTCACCCCATCCGACTGTCTGAGTGTCATTGAATCATCAACTCTATCGTCATCCTCCGGACTAGCATATCGTGACAATGAAGACTTCTGGTCCGGAGCCGGAGAGATGACTGCAATGATGATGATGATGATTCGGAATAAAAGACAGCAGCATCACGCAAAACTACCAAAACGCACGCTAGTTTATATTGGATGAAGACTGACAGAATGAACCAGTCATCCAGCACATTCTTATTGTTTTCAGTTTCTATCTCTATGGTTCTTCATGTTTTTCCGATCTGAATGTAGATTTGAATGGATGTGATAGGATGACCGAAGAAATCTAAAACCTTATTTTGACGGATTCCAATCATTCCCCAACAGCATTCCCTATGAGGTTTTCGTGCTACAAAAAGTCTTCGAATAACTATAAAATGGCTCTCAAAGCTATGATCACATCGATACAAGGTGGCGCATAATTATCCAGACTGATAAAAACTCGTATACCTTTAGACATTAGTATCTTGGAAATACGAAAATTGAAAGAAATATAATTTTACGTTTGATTCAAAGCTACTGATATTTTCAAAGCGATTCCTCAAGTCTAGATATTGTTATGATGTTTAAAGATGAACGACGCAATGTTTCTTGCGCGTCGTTGTGATAAAAACTTTAGTTCAGGTGGTTATGCGCCACCCTGTACAATAGAGTTGACACAATATTTCTCGGTTCCTGTCGAAGATATTAAAACATGACTAACGGACAAAATTTTTCTAATATCATGACAAATAATTTACCAGTCAATAACGTTTTTTCTATCTCTTACAAGAATCGAGAAAAAATGGCTGAAAGTTACGGTATCTTGATTTCGAAAAACCTTCCGTAATCACTGATGATCTCTTTTAAAAGAACCAGCTTCACAGAAAAAGATAGGCAAACTTAGCTAATAAGGAATTCTAACAAATCAAAATGTTCCAATTTATCAAAATCATTTTCTATCTCAACAGTTTGTCATCTGTTGCTCTTCTCTTTCCAATTTCCCTCTTCCTCGCCATATGGTGCACAATTAGAACAGGCGATAAACACAGATACAAATTCCGTGAAGATGATTCCTGACGAAATCGTTTCTCGCGAGAATTAATTACTCGTTCCCTTCGTATCCCCCCTCCTGATGACATCTTCTTCATTCATACAGAATTTTTGAGTGTTTTGCATGTCAGAATAGGAGCCAGGTGTGCGATTAAAATCCTCCTCAACCAGCAAAAACTGAGGGACACGCACCTATCTTAAGAAAAAAAAAAGTAGAAATGGGACAGATAATGATATGTGTTCAAGGAGACACCTGGGTGTGTGATATGAGCCACAATTATATGTATTTTGCAGGGTTCGAGATCCGCCAAAACAGTTGACAAACACCAATCCATCGAAAAGACATCGAGAGAGGTAAGCGAGGGGATCATCGAAAAAGTTTAGAAGATTTGAGTATGAGTACAGTAATCACTTCCTTCAAAAGCAATGAAATATTATTTGAACCAACAGAATTGAGTAACAGATTCCTACATATTAGGCGGTATCAGAAAAAATCATATCAAACAAGCAAACTCTATGAGTTTTGCAACTACCGTTTTCCTAATTTCCAGAATTACCGTACTTCCTCTAATAGAAGCACACCCAAGCCTTCAACTTTGAGCTAAAATATCTCATTTCCTGTATGACAAATTGGCCAACTAAAATTTTTATCATAATTTCAAAAATATTTTGTGTGTTAATCTTTTTTAGATCTTTCAGAGAAAGCGAATTATATTTTTTGAATTATATTTTTTACTAGTCCTTTCGATTTTTATGAAAACTGAACTTCCGGAATATGAAAATATAAAAGTCTTTTGAGCAATCGAAAACCAAACCTCAAGATTGACACTGGTTAATGTAAAATTGAAATTGTCCTACTGTAGAAAAACCACAGAAGTTGATAACATTTTTCAGACTAAATGGAGAACTCGAAACCGTGGCGATGCTCCTTCCCTACGACGGCGCAACCATCAGCCGATTGGATAAACTTTCAGTTCTCCGACTTGCTGTCAGTTTCCTCCAATGCAAAGCTCACTTTCAAGGTACCAACGCAACCTTTTTGTTTTTATTATGTCACAAAGAATCCATTCTTCTTCTTCTTCTTTTGGCCTCCGAACGCTTTCTCAGAAGTCTCTCTGATGCAATATTGACAAGAGTCCGTTTCGGGGCAAAGGTGACAATTACCCGTGCAAGCTGTCACATTCTTTCCGTAACCACTTGATGATCATACCCTTGACATTCTCTGGGTCTCTATAGATTATGTGATCTTTGGGACCGTGGTGTTTATATAGGGAAAAGGTGTATCATGGGCATCTTGACATCTTCTTGATATTTGATATACACACCAACATGGCTATTAAATTTGAAGATGGATGGAGGGAGAAATGGGAAGAAGTTTGAACACATAATATATAAGAGAATGAAGTATGTAACTGGAACTGAAAACCAGAGAACGTTTTGAAACTGGATCAACAGGCACGAAGATTGACTTCAACTTTCTAGTCTTATTTTGAAAATGTAATAGAAAGGGCCCCACACTGTCAAGTTAGAGTTAACTTTTCTCAATATATTGGCTCGAAGTTAACAATTAGGGGCCGTTCTATTACAGGTTTTATGGTATGCGCTCTCAACATTGCTAATTTGGTAATATACAATTCTAGATCGCTCCAAGTTTGAAAAACCTCGTATATTCCTCTTCTTCTTCCTTATTCTGCTTTACGATCCTCTTGAAATCTTAACAAATGTCGAAATGAGTCCGTTTAGTACTAGCGGACGACTCCGTCATTTTCGTCACGCCTACATTATTCACTCGTTCTTTTTGCGGCTGCCAACAGATGCATCAGTGAAAGAGTATTTTGTATCGAGAGAATGTTCTAGAGAAATAATACAGTAGGAATGGGAGGACTCCAGAGAGGCGGCGCAATTAGAAGAAGATTCTCTGCTTGCTGCTGCCTTCGCATGTATGTTATGTCTCTCAAGTGATAAATTGGGCATCTCGATTGAATGCGTGATGATGGGGGCCAGATGAAGTAGTAGGCTCTGCAGATGTCTTAGAAAAAGAAGAAGACGTTAAGAAAACGGAAGAAGAGGGAATGAAAAGTTGGAAGTTAATCACTTCGTGGAGGTGGGATACGGGAGATTGTGCTTTCATGAACATCCATATTATTCTGGGTCAAAAACCGGAGCTGTTTAGGACAAACGCCGGGGGCAGTGGCAGAAGATGGCAGAGCGACAACTACCATAACCTAAAAAACATTGTTATTTTCAGGATCTATTTTCAGGAATATTTTCTCGTTAAAAAAAAACAAAATTTCAATTTTCGATAGTGAATTGATTGACTGAATTGATTGACAAAAGACGATAAAATAAATCGGGGAACCTTGTTAGTTACGGTCTTTGTCGTTGCGCGATCTTCGGCCACGACCGCCGTACCAAATAATTATGAAGTCAATGAAAAGAAAATATTTTTCAGCATGCCTCCACAATTCTCAATTCCTTTCTTCTGGATTTCCACTGTCTACTCATTCATACTCCTATCAACCACATGCTCCAATACCGTTTTCCAACAAAGTTCCAACAATATTTGATCCTCGAATCGGAACTCCACTACTGGATCCAGAAGAAGCGAATTTTGAAGAAATAGCTCTGAAATCTCTCGGAGGATTTATTCTCGTTCTGAACGACAACGGAGAAATCTATTATGCATCTGAAAATGTGGAAGGATATTTAGGATTCCATCAATCTGATATCCTACATCAACCAGTCTATGATCTCATTCATTCCGAGGATCGGGACGATATTCGACAACAACTAGACGTCAATTTCCATATTCCGACTTCTCCTTCTTCTTCATCCAGCTCACAGTTGGATATATATGCTGCGCGTATGTTTTCCAAGTCTCATTCCAAAAGTTACTGTATCTGCTCTACTGATAGTTCACCCCATACGAGCACTTTGCGCTCAATCATCTCGATCCCTGTGAAAAATATAAAAAATCTATCAACTGATAAAACATTGGTGATATCATGATAAAGAATTTAACAGTTGATATTTTTTTTGATATCATTCGAATGAACCAAGATAATTGCTAAAAAGTTGACGCTTTGGGTGGCTCTTCTATTATATAATTTCCGGTAGATCCGATTTTTTTCAGAGAATTCCAAATATCTGGATCGAAATGTGAATGCCAGATTCAGATGCCTCCTTGATAACACATGTGGATTCTTGGTATTCTATCAGGATGGTGTGCCTATAATTTTCTTATTTTCAGAGAATCGATATGCGTGGAAAATTGATGTCTCTTCATGGACTTCCAACTTCTTATGTGATGGGAAGGACTGCTTCAGGACCGGTTCTCGGGATGATTTGCATCTGCACGTAAGCCTCTTTATACGAATTCCACAACTTCTGAATCGTCGAGTTTCAATCTGAAACTTTCAGACCATTCGTTCCCCCATCAACATCCGATTTGGCGTCAGAGGATATGATTCTCAAGACGAAACACCAACTCGATGGATCACTTGTTTCTATGGATCCAAAGTAAAATATCCATCTGGACCTTCAAATTTTCAAAGTCAAAACCTTTTAATTTTCAGAGTCTACGAAATGCTGGAAATCCATGATTCTGATCTCCCGATGTCCCTTTATAATCTTGTCCATGTGGATGATGCGGTCTGTATGGCTGAAGCACAAAAAGAAGTAATCAAAAATGGATCATCTGGAATTCTAGTCTACCGTCTAGTCAGCACTAAAACGCATCGAGTATATTTTGTGCAAAGTTCGTGTCGATTGTTTTATAAAAACAGTAAACCGGAATCAATCGGGTTAACCCATAGATTATTAAAGTAAACGAATATAATACAATCAAGAAAAAATAAGAAATATAAATTTCAGTGAGGTCGAAGGAACGATGCTTTTGGAGAAAAGAAGCTCTTTGAAAGCAAAATTGCTGTCTTTTGACGATTCATTTTTGCAATCTCCCAGGAATCTACAATCCACAGCTGCACTTCCGATTCCTCCAACTATCAAAGAGGAGCCTGATGGGTACGTTCCAGGGAGAAACAACTGTATTCGCTCTAATAGAAGCCCACCCTTTAAGTGCACTTTGAGCTCAATTATGTCGGTTCCTATAAGAGATATTTAGAATCTGTCAATTGACGAAATACTTGTTTTTTTTATGATAAATTATTTCTCAGTAAACAGATTGCTGTTGTCTCTCATTGAAACCGAGATAATTGATCTCAAGTAGTTGATTGTCGAAAAAACGAAACAAATCATGAAGAGTTGAGCTTTTCACGAAAAATAGTTTCAGAATAACTGAAAATCTTTCTGGGGTTATGAGTCAATACGTAATCAGTTTCTGGCGACTAATATTTTATTATTGCTCATCAAATTTCATCGCAAAAAAACACCAAAAGCAAATTTAAACAGTTACCAGAAACAATTTTTAGGTGGTCGTGTTTTATAATCAGGTCATCAGATATATCAAAAAAGCGATTTTGAGTATATGAAACAAATTAAAAAAGGAAAAAAATCAATCAAAAATTTCATTGATATTATGCATCGAACAAGACAATCAGAAGTTTCATAAATCACGCTATTTCTTCTTTTTATCAGCTCCGAAAACGTCTCCACCAACAGCAGCCAATGTCTGATAGTTAGGATCCATAGTTGCCGCTTTCTTATTTTTATCAGTCGGTTGAATGGGTTTCTTATCCCCTCCAGCACCACCTCCTGCCTTCTTATCAGCCCCAAATACATCTCCTCCGACTGCTGCCAATGTCTGATAGTTGGGATCCATTGTTGCTGCTTTCTTATTCTTGTCAGCTGGTTGAATTGGTTTTTTGTCTCCCCCGGCAGCCCCTCCTCCTCCTCCATCTTTCTTGTCGAACACGTTATTGTTGAGACCAGCCAGAGTCTGATAATTCGGATCATGGGTAGCTGCTTTCGCATTCTGATCAGCTGGAGCAGTTGGTCCTCCAGCAGCTCCTCCACCTCCACCATCCTTCTTATCAAAAACATTATTGTTCAATCCAGCCAATGTTTGATAGTTTGGATCGTGAGTTGCAGCCATTCCTGGTTTGGCACCAGCTGGTGGAGCAGCACCACCTCCAGCAGGTGGACTACCCTTTTTGTCGAAACAGTCATTTCCGATGCCAGCAAGAGTTTGGTAGTTGGGATCATGAGTCGCTAAAATAGAAAACAATGTTCGAGGATTATGGAGTTTTTCCTTACCAGCCATTCCAGGGCCTCCAGGCTTTGGACCACCAGCTGCGGGAGGTGGAGGTGGTGGAGCTCCAGCTGCAGGTGCCGCGGCAGGAGAGTCTCCAGCAGTGGGAGCAGCTCCAGCAGGTGCTGCCGAACTGTCCTTATCCTTGTCTTCAGTTTTTGAAGATCCTTCTCCATCTTTTTTGCTCGGCGTATTGTCCCCACCGCTTTCAGAAGGTTTTGCCTTTTTCTGAAAATATTGAATTGACGATGATCCTGAAGGAAGCGAAAACTTACTCCTCCACATCCTGGCAACACGAGAAGAGTGGCAACGGAGCCGGCAGTTGCCAAGTTCAAAGCAATTCCAATGATATCTTGAACGTCCATAGATAGCGTCGTTAGTCGCGAACTTCCAGTTGACTTGCTCTGAGAGAGTGCACACACTTCGAAGACGAATTGGTGGACAAAAATATTGGGAATACCGAAAAAAGATTAGGAGATAGTGGTTGGTAGGATAACGTGGATAGACTGTAAGAATTTTTTCGATTTAAGTGTTCACACGTTGCTTTTCGAAACAGCTTTTTAGGTCATCATAATCCCCATTACCCTTGCCTATACATTTCCCTTGTTTGTATTTAATGTTCCTACTGTAGTTTTCCAAAAACGAATTGACACATTTTTTTTCTCTCAAATTCGTGCTTTGTTGTACATAAAGCTGAACAATCAAGGGGCAGTTTTTCTATTGTTTGCCAATGTTTACAAAATGTAGTTATCGCCTTTTTTGCTCATCTGACCAAGGCTATGAATTGTAAATTCTATGAACATCTTTTCAGGCTAGAACCATCTACATCCACTGCTCTCTTCTCAACACTTCCTGTTCCTCCAACCAACACTCCATCAAAAACTAATCGTCGAAAAAAGGAGAATGCCGATATGGTGGTATCTATTCCAGCTACAGTACCACCACCACAACATTTTGAAATGCAAATGTTTGATCCATCATGGAATCATGGAGTACCATGGGCTCATGATGTCTATCATCAATATCCACAGTCATATCTACCTCCACCAGTGGCACCGATAGTCGGTTATCCAGAGGTTCCGATAGCACAAATCGACTATTCCCCATGGCAGCAAAATGGTGACTTTTCTCAGATGAGCCTAAAATAGAAATCGCGTTATAACGGATTTTCAGATGTCCAAATGCAAATGCCAAGTCTTACTCACGGATTCATCCCAGATGCTCAAAAGGTAAAAAGTTCAAGATTTTAAAAAATCAGAGTTTCAGGTTTACAGATAATTGAGCTTATTTTGACTAGTTATCTCATTTAATCCAATATATGTATTTGTTTAATTCTTCTAGTACGTTTATACAAAAACTTATGCAAGATTGGTAAGTTACAATATGTATATCAATAACAAGCATACTTGTAACGGGCCGGGGGAAAT